AAATATAAAATATTACAGAAATTAAAGAAATAAAAATAAAAATAAAAAAAAATTCAGTATTAGTTATCTAAGTACTTATCTTAACATTTTTTATTAAGCTGTAAATGCTCAGAGAAATTAAGTTACATTATTAATTAAGTGTATCCCATTTTAATTTATATCGATTAGCTACATCATTTATGAAGCAAAATAAATGCTTAAATTATTGAAAAGTGTATTTAATATTTTCAAAATGCTCATTTAAATAATAATCGATAGATGAATTAAGATTGGATTTACTGAATTATTTTGATCATGGCAGCATGCTCAAGAGTAAGGATGCTTTCATGAAGGAATTTTTAGAAGAACTGGCTTATATTTACGTTACACATGGAAGAACAATGAAAACTCCCACATAATTAGCCCTGCCAATGGGATTTGAGGCCAGATGAAACAATAAGTTTCCCAAATGTTACTACTAACTGCTTGCGGAATGACTTGCTCATTTAAATAATTTCAAAATTATTGTGATTAATGATGAATTTAGCGAATTAATGAGTGAATTAATGATGAATTTAGCGAAAATGAATGAAATATATTTGCTTTGCTCAGTAGCAAAACTGTAAATCGGATATAAATACAAAAGATAAATTAAATGTCTTATATTTTACGCAGGAGTAACACTTGATAGCAATGCATACAAGCTCTTTTCCTTTCTTCTCCATAATCGGTTCTCAAGGCTCAACGTATCTGCATTTTTTATCATGTTAGGACATAATTTTACGTGTAAAATTTTATAAAATATACCTCTTTCAAGGTGTAAAATATAGCCTGGTAATTATAATTATCTTATCTTCAGAATTTACTTCTTTTGTTGGGCTTCATCTCTTGTCAGTTATCTCTCATGTCAGCATCTCTTATCAGACAAACCTGATAGCTTGTCTAATAACATCATATTAAGTCTACATGGCCAAGAGGCAAGATTTGCATAGGCCTATAGATGGCAGTACGAATACCTATAGATGAGAGTACGAATTTGCCCAGCTCTGAGCCAGTTTTGAAAGATCTCTGGACAGAACGATCCGAGGATCTCCTATTCACTACAACAAACTTTCAAGATAATTTTCGTCTCAACAATATTTTAAGTATAGTATGTTTTTGTGTCTTGGGGATTGTTCAGTGTCACTGCACATTAAAAACATCCAGAACTTCTCCGGAATTTCAACACTCTTAGAATTCTAAAGGTGCAACATGTGTGGAAAATGATGAAACTTCCTTGTGGCATACATATCCCATTGCAGAAATAACATGAAATAAAATATTTATATTCCATCTCTAGAGAGCAGAAAATAAATAAAGCGAAAAATTACACTCAGGAATGAAACTGAATGGAAACAGAGCCGGCGATAGAGCTGCCACACAAGGTGGCGAAGTTTTGAGAATTTCTAGGAGCACCGATAGGTATAATTTAAGAATGTCAAAAACTTTATAATTTGCATGAGACATTGGGCAAGAGAATTTAAGAGCGGCAATTTTTTTAGAATTTAGGGAGGCACCGGGAAGCAGAATTACACAGGGCGGCAAAATACCTTACGCCAGTACTGAATGAAGCATGGATATTTTAAGAGTGGACTTACAATAAAAAACCCAGAGACTAGCTCATAGAGTTTTTCCACCTGAAACTGAAAAATTTCCAACCTGTGCCTTCCGGCCTTTTTACTGTTACTTCAGTTTTTTAATTTTTCATATGAAAATTATTTTTCTTCAAATTATCGTTGCATTTTAATTTATTGAAGGAAATTTCAATCATTTATAGGTGCTATTTCAAAATCACTTAAATTTGACTCATTAATGTTATCATCATTATTGAATTGAATTTTCGCGGAATGTAATTCGTGTAGTTTTTCAAAAACAATGTACATAATTTTTCTTTTCTCTTGCCTCCGAAATTCTAGTCTTTTTTTTTTTTTTTTTCGAAATCTGAAGCATGGTAAATTTAATCACCGTCCAGTGTTATTTTATAATGATTTGCTTTGCAATCCAATCAAGTGATTTTTTATGTCACCATTATAATTGCTGCACATAAAATGTTCGGCGCGAATTCTCGTGTTCTTCAACACTGTCTTTGGCATTTATGTAATGTCACGTATATTTACATAATGTTACGTACGTCTAGAACCCTATTGTTGACATTTATGTAACTATTTTGTCAAAAGCTAACTACCATTTGGGAAAGCAAGAAATTTTACATCCCTTTTGTCATATTCCTGTAAGTGTTAATATATGTTGAAATAATGCAAGAAGATACACTACATAAATGATAATTTACAATACAAAATTTAAAAGGAAAAATGTTTGTAATATTATAAAACTATATGTATAAAGGTTTTTAAACAGGTACACTACTAAGAAATAATTAGATGTCATTAAAACTATTTTAGAATGCCTACACCACTAAAACAACGTGTCCCAAAAGACTGGAATCACAGTTTTAAAGGCACAAAAATGCAGCTTTATGATGGACATCAGACTACTTCCTATTAACATCCTCTACCATGATCTACGGCTATCTTCCTTTTTCGTAAATATGGCAAATGTGAGAGAGTGACACTTCTTCAAAAGATAAACATTTCCAAACATTTAGACAATGAAAATTTTTTGCTTTTAGTCTCACAAATCATGTACTAGATTTCAAGCAAAATTTCTCCACAAGCACTTCCCATAACTTTTTTAATTCCAAGAGTGTTTTTTAATATTAGCTAAACAAAATATATTGTGTGGCCTGCAACATCAACATATATCTTAAATTGGCCTTCATGAGCGTTGGCTCTCACTGCACTATTAAAATATACCATTTACAAACTACCATATTATTTTGCCCTGAGGTTCAACTTGAATCTTGAACTTCACTTGAATCTGAATACATTTTTTAACACTTTAATAATTAATAAGAAAATTTAAACAGCATCCCAAATCAGAATGGGGCAAATTTAACACTCCTAAATAAAAAATTAAAACATACAGAAAGAAGTACAAGTGAGCAGAACACCAGAATATCACCACTGATTGTACAGGTATAGTACCACTGCTCTAAATGCGCAGCTACATCCCAATTTTAATGAAGAACACACCGTGGGAAAGTTGAGGATCTCTCACCAAATCCTTGAAAGAACTTTCCGCTCACCAGTTTAAGTGGCAAAATACTCCACAGACACTATACATTTAAAAATATTCATGGCTTCTCCAGGAATTCAAACTCCAGCCCTTTGATATGCTAGCGAGTATCATTAACCACCATGTCAATCAGGGCGATAATTAAAAGGTACCAGAAGAAAATGAAGCAAGGCTGACGGTTGTGCATTGCAATATATATATATATTAGGTATTGCTGGGACTTGATAAATATTACTCATCCAACCCAATTTTGAATGGGGGGGCAGTCTCAGTGTCTCCCACCTCTATTAACACCAACCTCTTGAGATGACTTTTGACTCCTCTTGTATTTTGAATGCCCCCTTGTTGCACAGACACTATACACTTACAAATAGTCCATCAGTATGGTAGCATCATTAACCACTATATCAACTGGGCAGCTCTAAAATTTTCAAGTCTGGTCAAGTTAAGTACAGTGGAACCCAATGTTTAACCACAGATAATGTGAGTATAATCCAAATGCACTATTTATACTGCAGGGCCCCATAAGGGACTCGCTAAAAAATGTGTGAAAAATTCGCCTTGAAAAATGTTTTGCAGTTAATGTTTTTGTAAAAATTTAGAATATAAAAATTTACAGCCTTTTGCATTTACAAAGATTTAGAAAAGTTGATACCTTTCCCACTTACAACAGTTTAGAACAGTTGGTGTCTTTCAACTCTGTGAAAATTTACACTTATAAATTTCCAATTATTCATGTGTAATTTGAATAAAATACTTTTTTGTTACAAGATATTTGTGCATAACATCCATTACTTACTATTTTGCTTATGCAAGGACTGTAAATGCAAAAATTAGTTTACATAAAATTGCAAAGTTCTTTGCTATGTATAGTTCATTTTTGTAATTCCTTAATCCAAAGTATATTTGTGTCAAAATTCTTTCGTTGAATTTCATTTATGTGAAGTTCATTAATGCAATGGAATGCTACTCTACACAAAATTCCTTTATGTAAAATTTCTTTTTATGAAGTTTTTTGTGCCAGATACGAATTCCTTATTAATTCACACACTGTTTAATAATAATATAGAATCATTAGCCTATGGACTCTGTTTGTGAATATATGATACAGCTGTATTTAGTTTGGTGCATATATTTTATCTCTTCTACTTGAGCAGTAATTGATAATCATCTGTATTTTTTTCTTAATTGTTTAATGTTTATTGCACAGTTGATATATTTGTAGATATTGGTTTCTCGGAGCTTTAGATGACATTTACTTGTTAGTTAACAATTCATGAGGAAGCGATTTTGATCTCCCATTTTCCCACATATGCATGTATCTGAGAATATAATATTTCTTTTCTGGAATAAAGCAGAATGTTACTCAATTAGCTCTTTTTTAATGTGCCCATTTAAATTGCTTCTTTTGTTACCTATCTCATGAACACTTGCTTTGACTTTTCTCATTCATGCTCATACAGTTTCCTTAGAAATTGACTTTCAATCAATTTAACAATAAAGGTTAAATCCTCTTCAGCTGAGTCAAGGTTTAGGCTCTTTTTTTTTTTTTCACTGAAAATCTTACTTTCAACAATACCCTAAAACTTTCCATTACTTCTAATTTGGGGATTTTAGGGGGATTACCCACTTGAAGATGTTAGAGGCATTTTTTATTTATTTACCTTATTATTATACATATATAAAAGTTTGTGCAACTCTTTTTCACTGTGAGAGGAATACTTGATACCTTTTCTAAAATGTAAGTGTAAAATTTCCCTTGTATAGTTATTACTGCACATCAGCAGTATGAAGTTATTATATAATATTCTGTCACTAATAAACTACATGTAATAAAAAACCTGAAATTATAACATCAGATCTTTATTAAATATTACAAATTTAAAATCTTATTTACAATACAAATTTGCATAACAAATGTACAAAGCATAAACATTAAAATGAGATATCATACTTTCAAGAAGAATTTGGCAATTTATGCATCCATCTAAAAAAAGAACAATTTATCAGTATCTAGAATAACAAAGACATTTCAAGTTTACTGAATGCTAGGTTCTGAAAACAGTTTTTTTTATAAACTTCGTACAACTCTAATAAAAATCATCTTCAGCTGGACTGTTCACAAAGAAACTTGTGAATTTAGTGAAAATTTTATTGAATTATAATTTCAAATAAAAATTATATAGATACAAATTAAATGCACAACATAAAATAAAATGAAATTTTTTGTAATTATGAAATTAAAATGAAAAAAAGCAAACAGCAAAAAAATGAAATAAGCAATGTTAATTTATATATACTAGATAGAAAAACTTAAAACAGAAAGTGATAATAAATTATCATTAACCTTACAATTTCAAATTACATCAAACCATCATTTACATATGAAGAACACTATTACAAGAGAAGCAACAAAACCAGAGTTTCTTTACTTAAAAACTGTATGATTATCCAATAGTCTGAAATATGAGTTGTTAAATTCCATGTTTTAGGATCATTGATAACCTATTTAAAAATTGAAAATGGAAAAGTAAACGAAATTTCATTATAACACATTCAAATTTTCTGCTATAAATTTTTATTTGCATTTAAGTGTGTTGTTATATGTGGCTCTTCAGTTCCCTCTAAAATATTCTATTACATAATTAAGACACAATAACACGCCGAACAAATACTAATTCAGAAGTCAAACAACAAAAATCAGCATTATATTCTCACAGGACTAGTTTCGATGGTTTTTTTACTGAACCATAATCGTCAGATGTAAAAGTGCAAATGAACGAGATTGGATATAATGATCAGATAAGATAAGAAAGCTTGGACAGAAAATAAGCTAGTGGGCGCCATCTGTTGATGAAACTAGAACTAAAACATAATTTCTTTAAAGGCCGAAGGCAAAGAGGGATTGGAATTCAGATCTTTAACTAGAACAGAAAGACTTTTTGAATGTGAAATGCCTCTAGAAAATCCAGTTCTCCAATGGAAGATGTTTTTTGAATAATTTTGGCAGCAGAAAAATTAAAAGTGTGATTTTCGGACCAACAATGTTGGGCAACAGAAGACTTCTGTGTTTCCTTTTTTCTAACATATGCCTCATGTTCCTTGATGCGAAACTTTAAGTTATTATCTTTAAGTTAACTTTATTCTCTTAGTTTGGCCAATGTAAATTAAACGACATTGGCAAGGAATCCTATAAATACCCCAGGAATTCATATCCGGAATGGGGTCCTTGGGTATGGAACCCGGAATTTTATTGATGGGAGAATAAATGACCCGAAAGTTAAATTTCTGCAAAATATGTGCAACTTTATAGCTAATTGATGGAAAGAAGGGAATGACAACAGAATTTTTATAATCTCCTAAAACAAGAGTATGCCTTTTAGTGTGTTGAGATAAGAATTTCTTAACTTCTTGATTAATAAGGTTGCGTGAAAAGCCCCTGTCAACAGCTATTGCTTTTAAATAATTTAATTCTTCATCAAGGGATAGTTTGGAGGAGCAAAATTGAAGAGCACGGAAAAAATAGGTATAAAATGAAGCTAACTTTTGTTTAGTCGGATGACATGATTTAATGTGTGGTGGAAGGTAAACCGACGAAAGTTTACGGTAAACCGCAGTACAGAAGTTGGATGCGTTACGTGTGACCAGAATGTCGAGAAACGGAAGAGAATTACAAGTCTCAAGTTCAAAAGTGAACTGAATAGCAGGACCAGTAAAATTCATTATTGAAAAAACTTTATTTAAATCATCTTTACTACCTTCAAACAGGGTAAAGTATCATTTACATAGCATAACCATACTGGGAAGTTTAAAGTTTCAAACAATTTTGATTCATAATAATGCATGTAGATATCAACCAGGATGGGACTAAGGGGGCTTCCCATGGCTAATCCCTCAGTTTGTTTGTAATATTTATTTTGGAAAACAAAATGTGTTTGTTTCAAACTGAGTTGAGTTAAAGAAATTAGTTCATCAATTTCGATGCAAGAGAAATGAAATTTGCGAAGTCTGGTTTTTAGATATCTTAATGCACCCTCGATTGGAACATTGGTGAATAATGATTTTACATCAAAAGAAACCATGAGTAAATTTCTAGGAGAAATGTTTTTAACCTTTTTTGGAGGATTTTTTTAATTTTGAAGGAGAATTTATCTTTAGGGATCGGAGGGATTTGATCTTTAAAGATCCTTCACCTTTGGACCTCTCAAAAATAAAACCTGCGATCAAATCTTCACAAATCATTTCAAGCAACTTAAAACATTCGCTTATCCCATCTGTTGCGAATTGTGCCAGATTATACGCTCTTCCCAAAATTGATAAAAATGGTATTCCTTTCCGTCCTATTGTATCAAATTTAGGTACTGCCTCGTATCCATTAGCTAAATATTTAGTTTCTAGATTTTCCACTCTATTAGACAATAACATTTACACCATAAAAAATTCAATAGAGTTTGTAAAAAAGGTTAAAAAACATTTCTCCTAGTAATTTACTCATGGTTTCTTTTGATGTAAAATCATTATTCACCAATGTCCCAGTGGAGGGTGCATTAAGATGTCTAGAAACCAGACTTCGCGAATTTCATTTCTCTTGCATCGAAATTGATGAGCTAATTTCTCTCACTCAACTCTGTTTGAAACAAACACATTTTGTTTTCCAAAATAAATATTACAAGCAAACTGAGGGATTAGCCATGGGAAGCCCCCTCAGTCCCATCCTGGCTGATATCTACATGCATTATTATGAATCAAAATTGTTTGAAACTTTAAACTTCCCGGCATGGTTCCGCTACGTAGACGATACTTTTACCCTGTTTGAAGGTAATAAAGATGATTTAAATAAAGTTCTTTCAACAATGAATTCTATTGATCCTGCTATTCAGTTCACTTTTGAACTTGAGACTTGCAATTCTCTTCCGTTTCTCGACATTCTGGTCACACGTAACACATCCAACTTCAGTACTACAGTTTACCGTAAACCTTCATCGGTTTGCCTTCCACCACACTTTAAATCATGTCATCCGACTAAACAAAAGTTAGCTTCATTTTATTCCTATGTTTTCCGTGCTCTTCAAGTTTGCTCCTCCAAACTAGCCCTTGATGAAGAACTAAATTATTTAAAAGCAATAGCTATTGACAGGGGCTTTTCACCCAACATTATTAATCAAGCAGTTAAAAAATTCTCATCTCAACACACTAAAAGCCACACTCTTATTTTAGGAGATTATAAAAATTCTGTTGTCATTCCCTTCTTTCCATCAATTAGCTATAAAGTTGCACATATTTTGCAGAAATTTAACTTTCGGGTTGTTTATTCTCCCATCAATAAAATTCCAACTTCTATACTCAAGGACCCCATTCCGGATATGAATTCCTGGGGTATTTATAGGATTCCTTGCCAGTGTGGTTTAATTTACATTGGCCAACTAAACTAAGAGAGCTTAAAATTTCGCGTCAAGGAACATGAGGCATATGTTAGAAAAAAGGAAACACAGAAGTCTTCTGTTGCTCAACATTGTTGGTCCGAAAATCACACTTTCAATTTTTCTGCTGCCAAAATTATTCAAAAAACATCTTCCATTGGAGAACTGGATTTTCTAGAGGCATTTCACATTCATAAAAATCTCTTTTTGTTCTAGTTAACGATCCTAATTCCAATCCAATCTTTGCCTTCGGCTTTAGAGAAATTATGTTTTAGTTCTGGTTTCATCCAAAACAGATGGCGCCACTTGCTTATTCTGTCCAGGCTTTCTTATCTTATCTAATCATTATTTCCTATCTTGTTCATTTGCGCTTTTGCCACTGATGATGCTGGTTCGGTAAAACCATCAAAACTAGTCCTGTGAAAATTTGAAAATATAACACTGATTTTTGTTGTTTGATTTCTGAATTAGTATTCTATTACATGTTTAACTTATATTTTTAAAAATGTATCATCTTCAATATCTGATGGCTAATAATATTTTATAATAATGAAATATAAACAAATATTCTAGCTTGCAGATTTAGCATTTTAGAGCAAATACTTCAGCACTGTATATGATATCATTATACTGTGTAGCGATTATCAAAAAAATGACAGCTTAAGCATGAAAAGATATTTTGCTATACATTATAGAAAGCAGCAATTTTAGAAATTTAATAGATCTTAAAGAAAAATTTAACAAAAGAATCTACACTGAATATTACCCCTTTGATCATATTTAGGCATAAGCTTCACTTAAGAATCAAGCTTTCAAACAGAACAAATTAAAATCATGTAAATATGGAAACATTAATCCATATTTACATGATATTACATGATTTACATTATATGAAAACATTAATCGTTCAAACTATTCTTGTAAAGGGTTACCAGCCTTCAAATGAAACCTTAATTTAGGTTTACATAAAAATATAAATTTAAAAAAAAGAAAAGAAAAAAGGAAAGAAAGAAAAGAAAAAGAAAACCTGCCTGCCCCCCAAAAAAGCCATAAAATTGATTCTTTTTAATATGCAAATGAAAAAACAAAGAAACCACAAAACGAACCAAAGGAGAGCTCCATTAAAATGTTTTTAAATATAAAAACATGCACAAACATTTCACTTTCCTTCTTAAATAAAAATAACATTTACTATTGCCAACTCATAAAATTAAATCTTTACAGCTGATTTAAAAATTAAAAGTCAGCTAAAAAAATTCAATTTTAAAGGCTAAGGCAATAGTTTTCACATGTCTTCTTCAGACACAGAATGGCATAAGTAGAAAAAATAAAAATATCAAATTACTAAAAAAGTAATTTGATATTTCTCTTCATTTCAGAAAAATTTAAATATATAGAAGTTTAAATATATATTAAATATATAGATTTTATTCTGGATGTGAATGATAATGTAGACAAAAAAGTAGAGTTAGTAGTTTAGTACTTAACTTATTATAGGACATTAAAATCCGATTTTACTGCTGAGACTCATTAAACTAACACTACTTCTTATAAAATACTCTTAAAT